TATTTGCTCAACTAGCAAAAAACAATTTTGACCGATACCAAAAAAAACCGACATCCTCCGCTTCCACCCCGGACCAATCGGGCCCATCCGGCCTCCATACCGGCGTGAACGGGAAAAAACGATGGGTCGGCGACAATTATCACTTTAAAACATTCACTAAACACTCAAAACACTAAATCGATTTTTTGGGGATGATTACAAGGAATACAAGGGATTTTGTAGGGAGCGAAGTGAAGAAAGTCGGCGAACGTAAGTCCAGGGCCTTCCCCCAACGAGCTAGGTACCCCCCCTTCAGGGAGGGCTAGATGCTTGCGTGTGTTCCCCGGGATCGCCCTCACCTGCCTGGGGATCGTCTGCGCCTGGGCCTGACGCTGAAGAACACCGGCCCGCTTTGACCGAGGGGCCCGAGAACGCGTGCCCAAACCCCCCGCTCGACCGAGAGGGCTCCTGCGACTCCTCAAGGGTTTATTGGAGGTTCGAAGGGATGCTCCGGCTCTCCAGGCTAGAATTCAACAACCTGGTCCCCGACCTCCGCTTGCTGGTGAGAGCCCTCCACCCTGATGGTCTGTTTGCCCACCACCGAAGCGCTGGATATGCTCATGCTTCGTAGCGTAAATCTTCCGACCGAGCGGACCGCACCTCTGGATCTGGTTAGCCAGAGCTTCGCGCGGAGGGGTGAAACCTTCAGCCTGACAAATTGTCACATGCAATCCATCAAGAGCACAATAACGACCCTGGGGCTCCGTTTTACTAGATTGTCCTAAGGCTTTTCTACATTTTTTTTAAGTGGAGATCAAGGAGTTGGTGCCTAAAAGGGAATCATATACTTGAACCTGTTTACGTGATATACTATTTTATGATTGTGATTTATTCATTGATTTTTAAAGTTATGTTATTGAGTGGTGCTTATTAAAATATGGTTAGTAGTACTCTCCACCATTGTATGTAATATTTGATTGTAATAGTTTTTTTTTCTATGAACAACATTTATTTTATTTTTAAATCATACAACTTTTGCGACACTAAGCATAGAACTTAAGAGTGGGAATGAGAGTCATCCCGTGGTAAGTGCTCATGATGTTGATCCTAAATCCTTCTGTTCCCTCCACCTGTGGATTAAATCAGTCCTGATCGTACACTGATGGTGAGGTCATCCGTATAAATATGTCTTTCAAGCACGGTATCGCGTGCGGCCACTGCTATTCTACAATAAAACTTTGCTTTTTGTCGGGCACCATTAACTCGAACCTTTTTCCCACAGTTTAATGTTATGCTATGTTTTTGTTAGTTGGTTATTGCATCTTCCTAATTTGCCAACCCTCCTTTCAGCGAGTTGAAATCAGTTGCCAGTTTCTTATATTCGGTAGCATCAATCACTCTGTCAAAATAAGCCACCAATTCTTAACGATCCAGTCGCCTTAGCAAACGAACATAAGGGAAAGCAAAAAATTTTTCAATATGAATAAGAGACATTGGAGTCTGTACTGCTCGTCTGACATTCCCTTATTCTAAGAATTAAAATTAGGTTTAGGTACATCAAGTAACCAGCATACGCGCAGGTCATTCCCAACAATTTTGATCCTCCCAAAACTAGTCGAATATAGGCTCTGTGTAGGGGGGCGTGGTCAAGGAAAAATTGGATGCCAGCGATCCTCGTGAGCGTCAGTCGAATCTTTGCACTCCAAATTTTCGTACTCTCTAATGAGTAGTGTGATTAAAAGTAAAAATATAAATAATTTTAAACGGTTTTTAATTATAAATAAAAAATGGTTAGAACGAGGCGATCAGGAAATACTTGTTGTGTTCCTGGCTGCTGTGTTAATGAAGACTTAAACAACATAAAATTTTATAAATTCCCCACGCAAAGCTTTAACCTCGAAAAGAGAGTAAAGTGGGTTAAAGCTGTGAAAAGAATCAAGTAAGAACATGATTATCCTAATAACTGATTCAGAATTTATTGTTATAAATTTGTAAAAATGATTTCTGTAGTCGTGACGGAAGTTCTTGGGAACCTAGTTTAAGATCATGTATTTGCAGTCAACATTTTGTAGGAGGTAAAAAGTCGGAGCATCCTAATAGCCCTGCATATCTTCCAACAATATTTCCTGAAAAATATTACGGAAAACCAAAAATAAATAAATCAGAGCAAGTACAAGCACAAAGCAGGTAATTTTTCTATTTATTAAACCTTGATTTATAAACGTGGGTATGTTTTGCCCCGGCCATGTAATTAACAATAAAAAAAGAAAAAAAATCGCAAAATTTTTTTTCAACGAAAAACTATATTTTTTGCTTTACATTTGCCGTTTAGTTGGTTATAAAACTTTTCATTTGTCCTTAATGTAATATTTATTGAGTAAACCACGTACATTTCAAGAAGTTTCTCTATTGGTTTCGTAAAATTATAATCGATATATCGGATTGACAATTAGTAACGTTAACAGTAATTTTGTACATAATTTTTGGACCAAGATCAGTAGATACAAAACGGCTGGACGTAAAAGACCCACGTTTGTACAGAGGATGATATGAAAAATTAATTGAATCGTAGATGTTCATTTTACTAAAAAATATAGGATTTCTCGATTACAGATGCGCGAGAACAATGCGGAGAAGTCAAAATTCAAAGAACCCGTAACGATGACCTCAACGACAATAAGGATACCGATAACCTGAATGATCATATGGATATACAGCAATGTAGTGAAGTTATTATTGACTCACTGCAACCGCGGTTTAAAGATGTTGCTGTACAGATTGATTTTCATGAAGAAATGTATTCAACCTTCATAAATAATATAATATATAACATAATAAATATGGTTCTTTTTTAATTGGACTTTTCCCCTAGCTACAGTTTCAATATAGCCGACATTAAATTTTTTCGTTTCTTTATCCCATATTGGTTTCGATTTGCATGATATTGGACATTTTATTTCGACTATTTTAGTTACCATACCGTCACTTACTACTATTCCATCTACTGAGACTCCTAACCAGGCCTGTCTGGGAGACACAAATAATCCAATTTGAAATACGTGAACATCATGCAGTAATTTGTAATTTTCGCGAGCTTTTACCTCATTTTGAATTCCATAATTTAAACTTTTCGGATGCAGAAAATCCTGTAGTAAAGATTCAGCTGAAGTGCGAGTTATTGTTTTTATCTTATGAGCTTTTGCGCTGGCCGTTATGCGTACACGTCTTGTTTCAAACCATTTTACCGTCTCGTTTTGTTGTGTGGTTTGTAAACACAATGTGAAAACTTCTTCACTGTCTAATAGTATCCGGTCTCTGTAAAACTGTGCTATTTCAGATGACAGAGCCAACTTGTCTTTTCCTATGGTGATACACTGACCAGCACTCTTTAAAAGACAAGCAATCACCTTTTTCATACACTCTGATATTAGTTCTACCTGTCGTTCTTCGAGACATATATTCATGACCACCGTACAGACTTGTTCTTCCTCACTAATATGATCGACTTTTAACCTTTTTTTAATTGGGCATTCGATATAGTCAAAGTCTTCCAAAGTCAAGTGCAGTGGCTGAGGAGGATTTTTAAGCACTTTTTGAGGAAAAAGATCATTTACTGTAGCTCCTCGAGAATATTTTTCTTTTGCTAAATGATTAATTGATGGAAATCCCCACTCTTGCTGAACACTCGTTTTAGACACACTCCGGTCATTTTTTATTTGGTGGATAAATGCCGCAATATGTTTGCATTCGCCAGCAATGCAAGTACATTGAGCATGTACCACCTCCCTTTTACTATTCAGCTAAAAAAAATAAAGAATCAAGTAAAAAAGCCACTTTTAAAGTTTGACAATTTTTTTTCTGTAATCTGTAAATTATATGGTGTTTCAGTGACGGACGTTTGCCGAATGCATTTAGCAACCAACGTATTCTTCAATGTGTTTAATATGACAAAAAGCCAATTTTTTTCCTTTTTCTAGCGTACCTGCAGTGAAAATTAATTGAATGGGAGATATTTTCAAACCTGGTCTGCAATATTACCGATGCCATATTTTCAGGTTATACTGTCAATAAAAAAACTATTATTATTTGTTTGTTACACGTTTTAATTACAGAAAAAAAAATTTGTTAATATATAATTTTCACGTACCTTTCGTTTAAATCACTTCATATTACTTATCCATCTCAAAATTTATTGTTAATTGTTTTATTTATAAATTAATACGTAAAGACAATGATAAAATTGGAGTGCTGTAATTCCTTCTTTTCCGTAGGCGGCGCTACTAGGCATCTAACACGGAGCGAATAAACTGGTTATCTCGTTTTTGTTTACATTACACCGAGGACACAAATGCAAAAAATCAGTCCTATTTGCGAATTTGTGTGCACAGATTAAGACATTAGTATAGGATGGCCTGATTTGAAATCACAGAACGACGAGCATCCTTCAATTATGGGACGGGCTGATCATCAACTGAAACATGCCAGAAACTATGCGTCCAACTTCTTTCAAATCCGAGTTTATTGGGCCAAAGTAAAATCCTTTTCCCGAGAATAGTCAAACAACCACTAGAAATAATTTTAATTTTACGCACGAGACATAGCTTTAAAATAAAGATAACCTTCGGTCAGAGAATGCAACAATCAGATTGTGTGATTCAGCTAGCAGCCGACAAATTCCTTTTTTAAATCTTTTTCAAGGTGGATATATATTAACACTTATTGACAAAAAAAAATGAACTGATAGCAAAAGCGATCTTCAATTGCACTCCAGGCCTTTTCGGCCTCGTTACCACTGTCCTTAAAAACAAATTAGTAGTCTGTGGTTCAGTGTTAATACGTTAGCAAAGAAAAAATCTCGTGGAGAGAGAATGGGGATGGCACTGGGCGAATAATCTTAATCAAGGGTCCCCCACTTTTATGAGAATACATATTAAGAAGATGTTTGTGATTTAATTCAACAATGCGTTTCACTAATACAGTTGGGCACGACCGCTATTGGGGATTCTGATTAACCTCCGCTCGCTCCCAGCAGAATGTGTTGTATTCGTCCCAAAAACTTTGATATCTGTCTTTTTTCTTGTGATTCTGTTTCGGAAGTGCTTGGTAATTGTTTTTAAGTGTTTAAATACTGCCGGCCCTGCTGTTTTGATCGTTCACGCTGGTTGGTGGCCGGATGTGCTCGGTTGGCCCTCGGTATCGGTAAAAAAACAAATGTTGTCACGTGTTGTCAACTTCAAAGATTAGTCTTCTTCGCTGGAGAAGGACCGAAAACTCTCGACGGAAGTCGGCAATGGGCGAATGATCACAGTAGTCTTGCTCAACAGGTTTTTTGTGAAACGCATCATTGAATTGAATTGAAGATGTTTGGTCTATGTTGGTTTTGATTGCCGGTTAAAGATTTTGAACATTTCTAAAAGTACAAAACTATGTCCGGGCCAAATTTGACGGATTTTAGCACTTCTAGAACTTCTAGTCACCAATCTAAGAGACAAAATTTCCTTGGGGAAACACTTACTTTTTCAGGTAGCTAGCTATTTTAGTTAACTTTTGAATTTTGACTGGCGTTAGTAAATTTTCTTTGTTTTTAAAACATTTGGACCACTGTTTAATGTTCTCATTTAGGCATAGACCTTTCTTTTATTAGTATAGTTTTTCTATAGTTTAGGCATACATTCGACCACCGCTTGCAAATCCTATGGACAAGAAAAAGATGCTAAGAAAACATTAAAAAGTCCAAATTTTGAAATGATCCAAAATTACTTATCCTATTAACCCAAAAAATTAAAAATTTGCAATTCATAAAGTTATGCCACTATGACCTTCTGAACTGATTAAATTCATTTTTTTATGTTAAAAATTATGGAGAAAAAGCAACTCAAATACTTCCGTGCATTAAATTTATATAGTCCAAAAAATGTGCAGTGTTTAGTCAACATCATTTATCACCTTTTTCTAGATCCAGAGGAAGAAGAAAAATTAGATATGTTGATCTCTAATAGATATCGCGCCTTTTTATCTAGGCCCCATCAGGAAAATAGCTGTTATTCTTATGATGCTCCAGAATCCATGCAACAAATTTTCAACATTCTGGCCAGATGTTCAAACAGTACTAAGTGTAAGTTTAGTGTACTTAAATAGGTACTGATGACTTTTTAAAAATTGACTTCTGCAAACATAAACTCTTTGTCATTTTGCTAATATAAAATAATGTTTTAACAACAAGCACCGGCAACCAAACAAAAAATTAATGTATGATAACTTCTTCAGATGTATTACTTTATTCACAGGTTTATGTCACACTCAGATTCAACAGATAATTTCTAATTCGTCTGCTTACCAAAAACACCAAATAAGTGAAAGGAGTTTTAATAAATCAAAAGATGGTGATACACATATTCAAAAAAAGGTAGGTCCACTGTTTATTATATAGAAAATGTTCATGACTATTTCTGCAATATTTCAAAATTTACGAGGACCAAACATCAGATTCAACAACAAAATTGTACTTGGTTGGTGGTTTACATTTTGATTATGGTTTTTCAGGAATATTCGAACTTGGATTCTGCAGAGGTTCACAGAGCTGCTGACTCTGATACTATAGAATCACTTCCCAGCAACTATAACAAAAGTGGCAATTTTATCAATGGGAATAAAGAAAATTCTTTGTCAAGTATGTAATAAGTTGTTAAATGTTATTTAATATTATTTTAGTTCTTTATTTTGCAGTAATGCATACTAGTAAAGAATCGAATTCATCCGAGGTTTTTAGAAAGGATATTTCTATTAACAGCGTTCGTGGAAAAAGCAAACTCAGGAAGCCCACAAACAAAGTAGTTTTTTTTTCAATTTGTTTTATATTAATATCTAGCCTAATCTTTTAAGATTTTTACTGTCCATATGCTATGTTGTATTGATATTGTTCACATTATTTTACTTTTAAAAGTTCGTATGTCTCTCAGAGCAAATTTTATGAGGGACCAATAAAACTTTACAACCTGATTTTAATATTAAATCCAACATTTATCTATTATTATATTATATTCTTATACAACAACTTAACAATTTTGAAACTAGTTTTGTTTACATTTTTAAGGTCTATGTGAAGTAAAGTCTTTTTGATATGATAATAGATATACAAGGTTTTAAATTAATATGATTCAAACATACAGATAGTAATATAATTTTTTTTTAAGGAACTTCCACAGGCTACACCATAAGACTATTTACAAATCTCCTGAATTCCACCTGCGTCAGTTGTTGTTGAATCGAACTTGCCGAGGTTTTTCCAGTCAGTAACTTTAAAGATTTGTAAGTAGTAATATAATAATATTTTTTAATAATAAATTAAAAATTAAATTAAATTAAAAATATAATATTGGTACTAAAGGGTCTTATAAAAAATTCCTTTTTTTAGATGTCAGTAGGTACTTGGTCTTCTTCTATAGCTAATGGAGTATCATAAAGTTGTTATATTTCTTTGCTCCCAATACTTTCTTAATTGTTTCTTTTTATAAGTGTAGCCAATAGTGTTTAAAGTTGGTTTTAGAGTACATTAAACTTTATTTACATATCTTCTGAAAAAAATTGAAAAACTATTATTTACAAATCTTCTGGATTTCTCTTGCATTTGTTGCTGATAAATCGACAACCGACGCAGGAGGAATCCAGAAGGTGTGGAAATAGTATTATAGTAGCCTGTGGAAGTTTCTTTTAAAAATTGTGACAATATCTTGCAAATCAGTAATTTCCACTCGATTTTGAAGAATATTCTATGAAATGCGCAAAATTTGGTAAATAATTTTAATTAGCTGTCATAATCTCACAATTTCACAAATTAAATATTAATTTACAATTGCAAATAGTTCTGCTATTTTTTAATGAGCACTTTTTAAATAAACACTTTATTATTATTACTACCTTACTTTATTAAATTTCAAAGCATAAGCGTAACTTACAATTTTAATTTGACCTGGACATTTAGGAATGTTATTACTTAATTTATCAAATTATCAATTTGTAACAATGCAGTGTTAATTAAAATTGGAATATTATACCAAAAAGGAAATACTAATCATACCAGACAAACAATCATAAAATATAGTTTTTGATTTCTTTATTGTCTTGATTACTTTAATTTTCCTTATGTGCCGGACTGATTTCTATGAATATTAGCTCTAATTTTATAGTTATGGTTGATAAGTGTTTGACTGAATCAATGTTTATGAATTTAATAAATCTATCCAAGGCAAATATCGGGACTAGCGAGAGTCAAGTCGGTGTTTTGTCGCTCCGTGTGTTTGAGTGATTTAAACTTGTTCCAAGTTGGCTTTTCATACTCAATTGTATATCAGTCTCTTCGTGAAAGTGTGACGCACATTGTGAGTTAATTAGATTTTTTGTGGATAGGATAACTACGCCGTTATTCTGTAAAATAACAGAGAACTGAAAGAAATAAACAATTTTTTTGTGGCGTTCTTTCACGATGCCGTTGAAATGCGATATCTGTAGTTCTTGACTCACAGTTAAACTTTGAGGCTCATTTGAAACTATTGTCAATAAATGCTTGAGAAATCTGGGCTTCATTTTAAGAACTACCAAACGATTCAACAAGCATTAGTCAGTACTAATAGTGTATAATAGTATGGTAAGATGTACTAGAGTACTCATCCACAGTTTGGAATCCTATTTATAGTAAATATATCATCAGAATAGAAAGCATACAAAAAAAACTTTTTAACAACTTAAACTTTGGATACAACAGAGATCGACACTTTCGTTTGTATGAATAAAACTTTTTGTAGTCGCTTAAAAATCGAAGAAACTGTTTTGATATTGTTTTTCTTTAGAATGTTGTAAATGACCTTGTGGATTCTTCTTTTCGTATAAATTACTTGAGTTTTAACGCTAATCAATATCAGGTGCTCTCGAGACTGACGTTTTCTATTGGGTGATTTAGGTCGAACTACTTTTCTAACTCCCCTCGAATAGATATAGTTACGTTTAGTTTAAGTCTTAATTTATTTAAAAAAAAAACGTATATAAAATTCTTAAGCTCATAGTTATAATTTACTTAAATCCAACCTTGGCTTTTATTGTAGAGATAAGAAATTTATTGCTCACTTTCCCTATTTTGTTAAATAGTTCTGTAATTGGGTAGCTGAGTGTGCCTGTGACATATAGATAAATATATAAATAATGAACTAACACTGTAAATATTTGTACTAACAAATAATGCAGTAGAGTAATATTTCGGTATTTAAAATATAATTTGAACATGAAAATGAACACCATGATCGGTCATTTGACCGAAATAATTTTAAAAATTCAATTACATTTATATTTATTTATATTCTGCCTTACGTCGCGGTCGCGTCGTTCTGAGAACTAAATGGAGTGGATATTTTTATTGGGATTCCCCGAATCGCTACTCGGGTATTCCTTGAAGATGGTTATAGGTAAATTGGACATCACAAAGACATAATAATTTATTATATCATATATATTATTATTCAATAAATATAGGACTTTAAAATTTCAAGATATTATTTAAAACATTTTGATCGCAATTTGACCAGTCAATTAAGAAGTGGTCAATTGACCAGCCCCAACACCATTACCCAGTATTTTATAACATTAGTTTAATTAATTCACAACTTTTATTTGCTTTAAAATCCCAACATTGGTAACATTGTTATAATATTTTAATGAAGCCACTATAGTGTCAAATTTATTATTTATATTATTTATATTTATTATGTATTTTTAGTAATTCGCCTTGTTAGATTGTTCCAAATTAGAACATTCCGAAAACAAAATATGAGATATCAGCGTATTTTTTTCTCAGAATTACATAATGGTTATGAGTTAAAAATATCTTGCAATGCGGTGTTTAAAATCCCATAATTACTGTAATAAAATGTTCAATTTCAAGTAATTATCAACCTAAATGAGTTGGAATATATGGTTTTCGATATCTATGGAGTATATTAGACACTCCACAAAAAAAAGCATAATACATTTTTCAAGCATTGCAATTTCTGTGTTCTGTGTTAAATGGCTTCTGCCAATTAAATATTTTTTCAAGCGTCCAATAAATTTCTGAGGGAACACAGGCTAATCAACTAAGTCAACAATAACATATATAGTGAAAAGCAAGACAGAAATCTTAGTTTTTTGCGCACAAATATCCCATGTCTCCTTTATCTGCCTCTCCCTCCCTTTCTAAGAATTGCCCCTAAAAATTATTTTTGCTGCAAATTAGCTTCAGTTTAAGTTCAATTTTGGTTAGCTCCAGGTACAATTGGCTATATGTAAATTACGAAATGGATACTATTAATTTTCTGACTCAAATCTACATTCCAATTACTCTAACGCCGAGTAAAAGGTATTTCTGAAACTGTTTCCAGACTGCAAAGCTGAATAGAGGTACAGGCAGTCGCATTCAACCCAAAAAGAAAAGAAAATATGAACAAGAAAAGATGAACAGTTCGGCAACGAGTACTGCAGGTAAGGTAAAAGAAAAGATATTTTCAGATTTTTAAGACATTTTATGAAAAATTATTGTTATATTCCAATTGGATGCCACTTGGCATTTCTTGCGCTTTGAAGGGAAATCAACCAATAAAGGGTCGATGAAATTGGATAAAAGTTGTGAACTGATGCATAATGCCCCGAAATTACGAGAATTTTCAGTGGCGGCTAACAAATATTCTAGAAAAACCAAATTCTTTAATTTTAGTTTTTCTTTCCTACTATATTTATTTCTAATTTTGCAATAAAAGTTGTACAAAAGTTGTATGGTTCAGAATGATATTATTCGGGATTCGTTTGTTTTGTTTAAATTGTATCCCAATTTTAGACTATTATTGGCAACATGGCAATAGCTAGACTTGGAAGAAAATAGTTTGCAGTTTGTAATCTAAGCTCTTCATGGGGTTGCATAGTGACGTGTCTTTCAGATCATTTGCTTATTACATCAATAGGCATGAATTACTAATAATAAAATTAGCTAAATTTTTTAAAAATAATAAAACGGGATAAAAATACAGGGCCTTCTATTTAAAATTTGAATGATGGGTCAGTGATACTTCAAAATTGGTACATCCCGTCGACAAAACAAGTGAACTTCGAAGAATGTTGTTTTGAGCCCTACAACTTTTTTTTGTAAAATTGAATATCAATATTCTTGGAAAGAAATACTAAAATCAAGGAATTATTCCTAAAATATTTCTTAGTCCACCTCTGCTAATTTGGTTTTTGATAGCTTAAGGACATTTAATTGTACAACTTTTAACAAAAAATGAATGGATGATATTCCTAAATAATTTTTCATAATCAAATAAAATGTTTCAAGAGCTATGGAGTGGAGTTGAAATTTCTCTTCTTTTAAGCTGCGTATTTTTCGTCAGTATTCTGATGATAGAATTAATTAAAAAATGTAATTGTTCTTTCCTCTGCTATTTGTGTAGTAGATGAAAAATTTTAGTTTTAGTTAAGACATTACAGAGTAGAAATATTTTTTATTTGTACAATACACTTTTATATTATTGCTTATGCTTTGTCCGTTAGAATGGACCATTTCGGGATGCAAACACCAAGGTTCTGTACAACCCATTCCTGAAAATCAAGAGAGCAACAAAATCAACAATGGTAAGGGAGAATTAAATCTTAAATAAAAATTACATTTAAATTTTTAAAAACTCATAGAGATATCCAATCCGTTTGATTTGTTTATTTGAAAATATTTTGAAGTCCACTTTCCTGCATCGTACTATTGCAACTCATTGTCATGAGAACACTTTTAGAGTTCTTGTTTCAACATGGTGATGTTAATGTCGATAACATATCTACTGAAAAATCAAGTCGTTTTGGTTTCCTATATAACCTGCTGACGACAATAAACTGACTTTTAAGCTGTTTGAAAAATATAATTATATATAATCATATGATATTAGTGCTAATAGAAAATACGATGACACTAAATATATACAAATTTTCTTTCGCTTGTCGTTGACTGAATTACACATTGTAGTTTGCGTTCACCACGTTCTCGATCACGTCGTTTAAAGCAAAAAACGAGTTTTTACTTTTTGTCGTGTAAATCGACGAAATAAATTTGCGCAATTTAAAATGCCAAAATGTAAAATAAAGAATGGTGAGAAAAAGTGGGAGTTGAAATAACTTTAAAAAAAGCTCAAAAAATTCAGAGTAAACTGCAGTGTTTGGAATCCAGCGATTGGACGACTGCGCCCCATCTAGTGCGACCACCAATCAGAATAGGGAAGTAGCTAGATTACAATTAAATTTTTTAGATGCGTGGGAAGCGATAACCAGTGACCAAATTGTTCTGAATTGGGTTAAACGGATAAATCGACCCTTTCATAGAAAGTCATAACAATTGTGTACACCTAAAGCCTGTATCCTTACAGGTTAATATAATGCCACATTTCAAACTTGATTGAGCATAGCTGCTTTCATTTTTTCCAAACTTCTTGAGCCAGTTACCGCTTTTCTGAGAAAATTAAGTATTCTCTTGGTTGCTAACCTAGACGATATTCTGGTTATGGACTTATGCCAAAAAAAAATTTAAATTTCACAAGGGATCCACAAAATATTACCATATCTATACACTGATTGCGCCAAATTAGCCAAAACAGTAAAAACGGATGAACAGTTGTTCGGAAAAGACTTCCATAACATTTTCAAAAACAACCAAGCACTAAAGAAGTCGAGTATAGATCTGAAGAAAAAAAAACTTCCGTCAAACCGGTGGTCGGGTAGGCAGCGAGGAGCCCACCAGTCTTTAATCTACAAGCGATTTTAATAATGAAACAAAATAAATTGTAGATTCGCCGGCAAAACTGTAATTATGCAAGAGAACAAATTCAAACAGGTAGCACACTTTACCGTTTTGATGCCCGCGCTAACAAATTTTAAAATATTTACATATCCATTTACTGAGCCCTCAGCCCTCAGAGCGCTCTTCTTCGGAAATGGAAGTACTCAGTACTCAGCGGATCAGGCCGATTTTGAAATAGCTTCGCGTTGAAGTGCAATCCTAAAAAATGGATTGACAAGCACACAAAAAATAGAATAACAGAAAAATTTAAAATTCCCAAAAATTGTATTTCCCTTATGTCACAAAAATCAAACAAATACACACACACACACAACCAAAAGAAAAAATTCTCAATATATCGCTAGAAAGTCAGCAATTTAAAAGGAAAAGGCACTGCACAGTCGCTTAATGTCCTGCTACCAAATATGACTTCGCTCACTTGAAAGACTTAAAAAGAATCAAATAATGAATTTCAAAATTATAATCTCAGAATGAAGATCCCTAATAAATTAACATTCTCTGGTGGGAAAAGTATATTGGAAAGGATCAGAACATAAAGCCCCAAAAATTCGTTCTACAAATTTTCTCAAACGCGTCTCCGTCTGGCTGGGGTGTCCGTTCTGGGGGCAGGATTTTTCGTAGTACAAAAGGTATATTTCCTGGCGTCTCGATCCAAATTGCAAAGTAGACTTTCACTATCCGGTGGAGGAAAAATTACTTTTATGTCTTTTTCCTTGTACTACTCAACTGTTGGGTAAATCTATTTAAGTATTCAAGGAAAAACGTTTGGTATTGTAGTTGTACCAAATTGATCTTCACAATCGTGGCACCCTATTTTTAAAAGACTGTTGCCAGAAATCTTTTTCGAACCTAATTTCAATCTAATACTATTCCCCGTCAGGACCAGCCACCCACTGGCCGGGGAACTTTCCCTGGAGACAGAAAAATTATTCAGCGCTCTCTAATAAAGAAATGCACCCTGAAGACTGCAATATCATCAAAAACACAACACATACCCGCTCTCTTTTTAACATAGGTAACTGTCTAGAGTTTTTGAAATGCGTATTGGATAGCGGGGTATCTTCTTCTATTATCAACTCTTACAGATCGGCTCTGAAATTAAGCTTTTCCCCAACGAGGATGATCCAAAAATCATTAACAGATTTTTAAAAGATGTTACTAACATAAGATCTCCAGAGCCTAAATACGCTATTACGTATACGAATGCTATACGCATCCGGTGCTGGCGGTTTTAACAATATCTATTGTATTCTCTTACTTTAGAACAGTTAACGTACAAACTAGTCTTTTTACTGTCAATCTCATCTGCAAGTAGAGTACAAACCTTATCGGCACTAAAAATGGAGGATATACTGTGGACGGGAAAATAGAAATTTGAATTACAAACAAGATTAAAACATCCCGCTTTTGAAATTCCCTTACCTTCACAAAATGGTACAACTATGCGTAGCTCACAACATAGAAATCTACTTAGAGAAAACTTCGAGCTATCGCAAAAATTATGAGCATCTACTGCTAACGCATAAAAAAACAATTTCACCCAGCATCCTCGCAGACCATAAGTCGCTAGTTACAACTGGTCCTAAAGTTAGGTGGAATTGACACCAAAGTCTTTTCCGGCCGTTATGCAGCAACTTCGGCTGCTTCAAGATGAGATGACAATATTGACGTAATACACCGTAAGCCGGTCGTACACCATAATTCTATATATTTTTTTAAATTTTTTGATGGACTTTTAATCGAGCCTGAAGAAACATTTATTAAGATATACTAGTTATTGTGTATATTATTGTGTCGATATAACTGCACCGTTGTGGGTCGTTTAATTATTTATTATTTTGGTTTATATTGTTATAAATTATGGACATATACCTCCACCTCCAGCTGCAGCAAAATCGCTTTTCACTCTGAACATCTGCAGTGTGTAATTGTATCAAGGAGAAGCGAAGGAAAATTAAAAGATTAATCGACTTATCTGGAAGGTTAATATTAATTTTCCGAGCTTGCCCGTAGATACAATTCCAAACCTACCTTTTACCCAATGATACCCCTTGGCGATTTAGAAACAAAACGGAATGATTCACGGGCCCGGCCGGCCGACGTTCGGCGGAGTCAACAGAAAAAAAGCGAAAAAAAATCGTTTTTTGCTTTAAACGGCACAATTACATGAACTACAGTTTGTAATTGTATCTATGGACAAGCTTAAATTACTATTAATCATCCAGCCAAGTCGATTAATTTTTTTTACGTTTTTATTCAAAAGTTAATTTTTTCTAGCACACAGCTGTAATAGCTTATGTCAGACATTACAATGACGCATATACGGAATATTTTTTAAAAAATAATTATGAAAACAGTTTTCAAAAAGTTTTTCACTTGTAGCTTGAATATAGTCCAAGCAAGACCCTATAATATTCTTTGCAGATGAAAGCAAGTAGTATTTAATGGTGTTTGTGTCTGACAGTTTTTACTGGAATGTCTTGTAATAATGATAATAATAATAATAATAATAATAATAATAATAATAATAATAATAATAATAATAATTATTATTATTATTGACCATTAACTACATTACAAGGACAACAAATGGCAAGTCACATCTGCGAATGAAAATGAATTAACACAATATCAAACACATTCTAATAACCTTCATAGAGAGCAACATAATTATCGGATAGATAAATAGAAAACATTGAAACAAGAATTAACTAAAAAAAATTCCCAATTAGTATTATGTAGACACTCGTGATGCAACACGGATGTACTCATCTGCAGTATAGAATGCATTATCCAATAGAAATTGTTTTATTATTTTACAAAATTTAGTGTATGACAGGTCCTTAACAACAGTTGGTAGAACATTGTAATAATTAATGTACAATTTATTTAACTCGGATGAGCGCAGCCTAGAATGGCACTGGACAATTAATTCAGATCCCCTGGTGTAGTGATTGTGGCGATCACAGTGCTTGGGCATATCGTTGTTTAGCTCATGTATGCGAGTGACTGTATGGGAAGTAAATAGTGATGGTAAGGTCAAAATATTAAGTTTTGAGAAGAGCGGATGGCAGTGATCACGAGGTTTTGCATCTGTAATCTAACGTATCGCTCTTTTTTGCATAAGAAAGGCTTTGCTGGCATTCACGGAACCACCCCACAAAACAATAGCGAGAATGGAACAATCCGAAATAAGCAAGTCTTGACATGACAGGAATGAGTGACTTGTTTAAGTATCTAATTAAAAAGAATTCACTTAACAATTTATGGCGAAGGTGTTCAATATGATCTTTCCAAGAAAGAGAACCATCGATCTAGACTCCAAGTACCATAACCGGAGCATTATTTAAATTGTGCACCTTACTACAAGAGAAAATAAGATGGTTCGTTTTATTTTCATTTAACTGTATGGAGTTCGACCCGAACCATCCAAGCGCTCTAGTCTTGTTGGTCACACTATCAATACTAAGTTCATCTGGGTTCCTAGCTAGGGTTAAAAGAATACTAGCAAGCTATAACTACTGAATCTTCCATTCACTTCGACACACTGAAGTCTGTCGCACAGGTAAAAGCGCAATAATCTGCGAGGCATGCCCCTTAGGACTCGTTTTTGATGGCAATCTTATTTAGCAAAAACAAATTAAAAACACCACAGAGTGTAAACAATCACTAAATATCCTGAAACTTTTGTCACACAGAAAATGGGGAGCTGATTCGAAAAAGTGTACTTTAAATCTACAAAGACATTGTTCTCTCAAAAATTGGCTATGGCTGTATCGTTCATTCATCT